ACCTGCTCAGGTAACCGACACCACACCTGCACTCTGACTGCCTGATCCAGATTCTGGTTCTGTTTCTGGACCTTTTTTTTGGCTCAGTTTTCTCCAGAAATGTTCCAGGAAGTGAAATCCTCAGTGAGGAATCTGAGCCGAACCTGAGCAGCTGACAGGTGTCTCCCCCTGCAGGTAAGATGCAGAACTACGAGCTGGTCCACAGTAAGGTGAAGTTTATTTACCCCAGCGAGGAGGAGATGGGAGACCTGACCTTCATCGTGGCAGAGAGGAAGACTCCGGCCAGCGCCGCCTCGTCGTCCTCCAGATCCTTCAACGTCCTGCTGTACCTGCTGGTCTTCCAGGTGAGAGCTTCCCTCCAGGACCGCTTCCTGCTCTGCTTTTATTCAGCTTCCTGACAGTATCGTAGGTACATGCTGTGACTCTTACATTTATTAGACGGTAAAGCAGAGATGTCGCTTGTTGGATCTGTGGAGGAACAATCCAGACGGGCTTTTTGTTCGTTTTGTCTGTTTGTGTCTTTGTTTAGTTTTTTTATGTCTTTTTGGTGCCATTGTGCAACACGTGGTTGTGTTACGTCTTTACATACTTGTTTTGTGTCATATTTTGGTGTTTTGTGCTTCTGAAGGATCCACTGGGTCGTACCAGAACATCCACTGGTCTTCTGTGGTTCTCTGTCATGGTCCAGCACCACAAACAGAGTTCTGGACTTTCCCCGTCTGTATATCTGGATGTTAACCTTCAGCTCTTCTGCAGGTTCAGGTTCCGTCCAGCCAGACCTCTGGACTCTCTGGTGGTTCTGGTCCGTCGGCCGTCCTCCAGCCCAGGACTCTGATCCTCACCAGCACCGATGTGTTTCTGCTGGACGAGGACTACGTCAGCTACCCACTGCCAGACTTCGCCAAAGAGCCTCCATCCAGGTGAGAACACAAGAGGTGTGCACTACCCAGAGACTCGGTAGAGACTTGGAGGTAAACATGCAGCTACAATACCGGAGGAGTTAGAACCAACAGGTCCGAATTGTAATCAGTACTTATCCTTCACAGCCTGTCAGTTCCCCTCAGTGCAGCCTCAACGGTCATTTTGCAACAAGAACAAAAGTGTTTGTCTGCTTCAGAAAAGAGGAAGAAGATGAGACGGTGAGCAGCAGGAAGATAGTGTTCAGACGAGCCATGAGGAACAAAAAGTTGTCAGTTGAAACAACAAACCGGCTCTGAATCAGGCTCTGAGGAGGAAATCGGACCGACTGACAAACAAAGATCACATTTTATTGATAAGAGCTTTAAGTCTGAATCTCCAGGCTCGGCTGTTTGTTAGAACCCAAAGTCAAACAGCTGCAGACTTAAAACACGTAACATCCATCCAGTCCAGCAGCTCTGAGGAACCAGAACCACATGAAGCAGGAGACAGAACTCAGCAGGACTCAGAATTTAAGGACCAGTGTCGGACGTATGAAGTGCAGGTTTTGTTTTGTTTTTGACATTTCTGTGAAGGAAATCATGTGGGTTTTTCTCTGGTCTGAGTCCTGCTGACAGAAGACGTCTCTGAGTTCTGGCTCCTCCTTCATGTGGTTCTGGTTCCTCAGAGTGAAACATGAACCAGTGAAGGAGCAGGAGGCGGAGCTGTTCTGTAAAGAGTCAAATCTCAGTTAGAAGATCAAATGTGAGTGATGGTGTTTTGTTCCACCTCCTGCAGGGAGCGCTACCAGCTGCGTGAGGCCCGCAGGATCCGGGACCTGGACCGGGTTCTGCTCGGTTACCAGACGTACCCTCAGGCTCTGACGCTGGTGTTTGACGACCTGCCCGGACCCGACCTGCTCTGCCACCTCACCATGGACCACTTTGCCGCCGCCGGGGAGGAGGCTCCACCTAGAGGAGGTGGGGCTAGCAGGGGCGCCGAGGGCGAGGTCCAATGGTGCGTCTTCGTGCCTGGCGCCGACAGCAGGGAGAGGCTGATCTCACTGTTGGCCCGACAGTGGGAGGCGCTGTGTAGCCGGGAGCTGCCTGTTGAGCTCACCGGCTGATTGGACGATTGGCAGGTCATGTGATGCCATGTGGAGCCAGGGTTGGTCGGTTTGAAGGTCTCAGTATGTTTTAAACGCAGTCGGATGCTCTGCGGGTGTCCAGAAGGAAAAACCAGGTTTGAACCGAGATGTTCGGGGCGGGTTCTCAGGTCACATGATGTCGTGTCATCAGCATCGTTGTCTTTACATCGTTAGTCAGTCAGCAGCTGGAGGGTCCCCGTGGCGACGGGAGGACGAACTGTGGTTACATCAGACACCCCACAAAGAGACACAAAGACCCCACAAAGAGACACAAAGACCCCACAACGGGACGGATAACAACCACAAAGAGACACAATTTAAAACAGTTTAAACTCATAAGTTGTGAATTAACTAATGAGGTGTCGTAGAACTTGACAGGTCCTGCTGACAACATGAGTTCTGCTTGGAGGTCCTGAACCTCCTCAGAGTCTCTGTCATGGTCCCGTTGCTGCTAAACTCCCACAATGCTCTCTGCTGCCACCATGAACTGTAGTCTGAGTGACGCCTCCTCTGGTCTTTACAGGATTAAACAGAGAGAGGCTCCACCTGGTGGAACAACCAGGTACTGCAGCTGGTCTATGGTACGTTCACTGACATCACGACCTTCTGCCTTATTGGTTAATATATATTTAATCTGTTAAACTATGGACCCATTAACTTCACATC